GCAGTGTCTTCTCTGCATCCCATTCACTGGCCCCTGGTGCCCCCTGCTGGCCCGTTTCTAGAAGAGGTGTGGCAGAGGTGGGGAGCAGGTCCCTAATCTCACCTACCTTTCCAGTGTCCCCCCCCAGCCCCACCTGCAGACAAGCTCCGCAGGTCCCTGCGAATCCACCAGGTTCTGTGGGCTGGCCCAGGCCCAAATGGCCATCCACGCAGGCCCCACAGCTCTCCTCCGTGCCTCCTCCTCCTTCCATCTCAACATGCCCATCAGGCCATTTCCCATCAAAGCTCCTGACAGCACCAAGTTAATGCACTCAGCTACCTACAGAAAGGTTGTAGGTTCAAGTCCACCAGAGATGCCACAAAAGAAAGGCCTGGCAATCTACTCCTGAAAGCCCCAGGAACAGGCTTTACTCCAGCACACACGGGGCCACCACACGTGGGGGTCGTGAGGGGCAAATGGTGTTGTTACCTCTTCTATAGATGAAGGGGTGCCCTGATGGCCTGGTGATAAGGAGCTGCACTGCCAGCCGAGGGCACGCGGTTCAAATCCACCAGCTGCTCTGTAGGTGAAAGATGAGTGGTCTCCTCTTGGGGATTTCCTGTCTCTGAAAACCACTGGAGGGTCAACCATGGGTTGCTTCTCACTTGATGGTGAGCATGACAACAGATGAGGGGGAGCTCGGGTGTTGGAGCAGTTAGAGCACTGGGAACCCAGCAGCTGCCCGGCGTGGGGGGTTGGGGCAGTCTCCCTACGGAGATGTGAGGGCCTTGTAAACCTTCGGGCCGTTCTCGGACCCACAGACTTTCTGGGGGTCAGAGCCACCTCAGCGTCCAGGCTGGCTGGATGGTCAGTGACTTCATCCCATGAGGCCAGTGGGTCTGCTGTGCACCGTGTTCTCCACCCATACTGTGGGTCCCCACCTCCAACATGGGGCCTCTTCTCCTACCCCGAAGATGAAGACCAAGGCCCCAAGACCACTGACCCTGGCGCACCCTCAAGGTCCAGGCTCTGGTCGGAGCTGCTGCAGGCCCTCGACCCTGCCACCTCAGAGGGACACATGGCAGCGACAGGGAGCCCTTGAAGGCAGTGGTGGCCACAGCGCCCCATGCAGGCAGAGGGGCCGTCTATCTCCCAGGGAGCAGCTGGTGGCCTTTGTGTCAGCAGCACAGCTCTCTATCATTCAATCACCAGAGCTCCCTTGGGCCTTCCTTATTCTTTGTTCCGTTTCCTCATGGAAGAACCCACACATGACTCCGTCTCTATCCCATTGCCATTAGCTAACTCAAACTCCCAAGTGGGTTTTCAGATGTTGTAAATCACAGGGAGGAGCTTACCCATCTTTCTTTTGCAGAACAGCTGATGGATTAGAACCAACTGCCTTTATGTTGGCAGCACATTTTTTTACCCATTAGGCCACCAAATACCATGGCTTGAGTCAGGCACGCCTTAGTCTTTAAACTGACACCCTTGCTGTTTGCACGTTAAAGGGTTCCTTGACAACAGCGTTTCCTAATGCAACAAACATGCCTTTTGATTTCTTGACTGTTGTTACTGTGGATCTTGATTGGGAAGACAAGTAGAATTAAATCCTTGGCAACTTCAATCATTTCTCCGTCCGTCATGATGTTGCCTATTGGTCCAGTTGTGAGGAGTTTTGTTTTCCTGATGCTGAGGCGTAATCCACACCGAAGACTGTAGTCTTTGATCTTCAGTAAGTGCCCCAAGCCCTCTTCACTTCATACAGAGTTGTGTCATCTGCATAATACAGACTGTTGATGAGTCTTCTTCCTGTCCTGTTGCCACAGTCTTCTTCATAGAGTTCCACTTCCCATATCATTTGCTCAGTATAGTATTGAACATGCATGCCCTTTGTAGGCAAGAATGATAAGGCTTCGCCTCACATACTTTGGCATGTTGCTAGAAGGAGCTATTCCCTGGAAAGAGACATGATGCTGGAAGGGTAGAGGGTTGGTGAAGAAGATGAAGACCCTCAACCAGGTGGATTGACGTGGTGACTGCTGCAACGGGCTCTTGTGTGTCAGGAAGTGTGAGGATGGTGCAGGACAGAGCAGGGTTCAGATCTTTTGTTTACAGGGTCACTATGAGTTATGCTCAACTCGGCAGCACCTAATGACAACAACATATTGGATATACACTACTCCTGTTTGCCACTATCATTAATATACAAGTAAAATAGTGCTGAAAATTATTCAAAAATTACTAGAACAGTACATAGATAATTGCCAGAAGTTGAAGCTGCATTTAGAAAAGACCATGGCACCAGGGATATCATTACTGTTGTCAGATGGATCCTGGCTGAGAGCAGAGAATTCCAGCAGAATGTCTGTCTGTGCTTTACAGAATATGCAAAAGCATTTGACTGTGTGGATCACAACAAACTCCAGAACACTTGACGTGTGTTTATGCAAAACCTATTACTAGACCAAGAAGCTGTTGTACTAACAGAACAAGGGAACAAACACTGTCTGGTTTAAAAGCAGGAACAGTGCACATCAGGGTTGTATTCCTCATACACAGTCAATCTGTATGTTTAGCAAATCAGTTGAGACGCTGGACTTGATAAAGAAGAATGTGGCATCAGGATGAGAGGAAGACTCTCCAGTAACCTGCTTTAGTGAGCTTTCTGCAGAGGATCAAAGACCTTCAACATGGATTACATGTCAGCCTCAAGAAGACAAAACTCACTAGTGGACCTTCATGAGAGATGGAGAAATGACTGAACTTGTCAACAATTTATCTTACATGGATCCACAATCAACATCGTTGGTATCAGCAGTCAGGAGACCAGAAGTAATGCATTGGGCAAGTCCACTGCCAGGTACCTCCAAATTACTGAGGAACAAGGATATATGATATATCAGTTTGAAGGTTATGTTGTTGTTGTTGTGTTATATGCCATCTAGTCACTTGCGACTCATAGCGACCCTATGTACAACAGCCCTAAACTCTGCTCTGTCCTATGCCAATCGCACCGTCTCTGATACACCCATCCTGATTACCCCAGTCACTGAATCAATCCACCCCATAGGGGGCCTTCCCCTTCTGCGCTGTCCCTCCACCCTCCCAAGCATGATGTCCTTCTCCAAGGTCCGGTCTCTCCTCACAACATGTCCAAAGTATGTTAGACAGAGCCTCAGAATCCTTGTCTCCAAGGAGCCAGCTGGTTTAACCCTTTCCAGGGTGAATCTGTTTGTTTTCCTAGCAGTCCATGGTATTCTCAATACTCTTCTCCAGCACCACAGCTCAAAGGCATCAATTCTCCTTCTATCCTCCTTGGTCATTGTCCAACTCTCTGATGCATAACAGGTGATTGCAAAGGCCATGGCCTGTGTCAGACGCACCTTAGTCTCCAGAGAGACACCATTGCTCTTCAGTACTTTGGAGAGGTCCCTAACAGCAGACTTTCCCATGGCAATGTGCCTTTTAATTTCCTGGCTACTGGTGCCAAGACTGTTGACTATGGAGCCAAGCAAACTAAAGCTGTGTACAATCTCAATCTCTTCACCATTCATCCTGATGCTGCCAATTGGTCCAGTGGTGAGAATCTTTGTCTTCTTGACACTGAGCCTCAATCCATATTGGAGGCTGCAGTCTTTGACCCTCTGCAGCAAGCACTATAGTGTGGCTAATTGAGGCCATGGTTTTCTCAATCACTTGTTATGCATTTAAGAGCTGGACACTGAATGAGAATGACAGAGGACGAATTGATGCCTTTGAGCTGTGATGTTGGAGAAGAGTTCTGAATATCCCATAGACTGCCAGGAGAACAAACCGATATGTTTTGGAGAAAGTGAAGCCAGAGTGCTCCTTGAAGGCAAGGATAGTGAAGCTTTGCATTTCCTACTTCGAGCAGGCTGCCAGGAAAGGGTCTTCTTTGGAATGGGCATCATGCTTTGAAAAATGGAGGGTCAGCAAAAGAGAGGAAGCCCCAGCAGGATGGATCGACACAGTGACTAGAGCAGTGGGTTTGAGTGTGTCAGGGAGGGAGAGGATGGCACAGGGCTGGACAGGCCTCAGATCTGTTGTTCACAGGGTCACTATGAGCCATGCTTAACTGAGAGGCACCTTTATCATTGGCTCAAAACTGACTCCTAGCTGGGCCTCCAGCTGCTTTACAAAGTTGTAAATCACAGAAGAGATTACCATCCTTTCTTGCACCAACCTGCTGGTGGATTTGAACCACCAGAGAGCCATGACCACTGTCTTAGTGGAACTCTAAGGAGTGTGTGTGCACCACCAAGTCAAAACCAACTCAGCTGACCTTCCAGCGGGTTTTCAGAGGCAGTCACTCCCTCTGGAGGACAGTGCCCATCCTTCTTCAGAGCTGGTGGATTTGCAGTATGTACCTTTGTATGGCAGTGTGATTCTTTACCATAAGCCACCAGAGATCTTAGAACTCTCTGCATATTGCATAACTAGGGATGACAGAAGGAGAATTGATGCCTTTGAGCTGTGGTGTTGGAGAAGAGTGTTGACTATTCCATGGACTGCCAGGAGAAAAAACAGGTTTGTCCTGGAGAAAGTGAGACCAGGCTGCTCCTTGGAGGCAAGGATTCAGAGGTTTCATCTGACATACTTTGGACATGTTGCAAGCAAAGACCTGTCCTTGGGGAGGGACGTCATACTTAGGAGGGTGGAGGGACAACGCAGGAGAGGAAGACCCTGGATGAGATGGATTGGCTCAGTGACTGGGGCAATGGAGGTGGGTGTGTCGAACACTATCGGATTGACTCAGGATAGAGCAGTGTTCAGCACTGTTGTACATGGGACCGCTGTGAGTTGCAGGCGACTCGATGGCACAGAACACCCCCCCCCACGCTGAGGTTCCTGGCTTCCAGCTTCCCTCTTGTGCAGGTGGGAGCAACGCCCCACATCCCCGGGACACCTTTCAGCGGTCACTCAGCATGATGTCCATTCACCTGCTACATGTCCTGTAACGTCCCGCAAGCTCCTGACTCTGTCCTCTGGTCCCCACCCAGGCGGCTGGAAGCTGTGGTCACTGTGGGGCGAGTGCACGCGGGACTGCGGGGGCGGCCTGCAGACGCGAACGCGCACCTGCCTGCCCACACCCGGCGTCCAGGGCGGCGGCTGCGAGGGCGTGCTGGAGGAGGGCCGCCTGTGCAACCGCAAGGCCTGTGTCCGTGAGTGCGGGTCCCGCGCGGGGGAGGGCCCGGTGGAGAGAGGAAGGGCCTGGGAGGGCGGGGGCCCGGAGAGGGCGGGGCCTGGAGGGGCGAATGGAAGGGGTGAGGCCAGGTGGAAAGGGGAGGGGCCAGGTGATGAGAGGGCGGGGCTGGGTGGAGGGG